TAAATGACAAGTAGCCCATTAATAAGTTTTATATTGATTACATGCTGAAATATTTTAGATACAGCAAGTATTATCACTAAAATGAATTTCACTCATTTTTCTTTACTTTCCTTTAATGTCATAAGTATAAAGTTTGAGTGAGTACTCACACTACATTAATTTCTATTGAACAGCATTTATCTAAATCTCAGGAAAGGGCTTAGAATTCTCCCAAAGAATTTCTAAAACTGTGAAATAAACCTATTTTGTTTTAGAAGACCATTACTACTCCTCATCTACATAACTCCTATGAATAAATACAAGGTACTTAAGAGTTATAAACTATTCTCCATGGCATCAAGCTATTAATAATAGAAACAAAGCATAAATACCAATGGGCAGGGACCATAATTTGCAACTGAGGGCAATTCCTCTATTACTTAGTTCCAACCATTGGAGAACCACACATCAGCATAGGCAATATAAGGAAGGGGAATATAAACACAGCTACCAGTGGGACTGTAGTATTCATGGCACAGATAGCAGCTAATATGCTCATAATCAAAATATCATTAGTATAAAGGAATACACACACACACGAAGCCTTGAAATTTCTCAAAATGGTAAGAAATTATTAATGAAATTTTACAAATTGATTAGTATCAGGCCAGGCGCAATGGCTCACACCTGTAATCCTATCACTCTGGGAGGCCTAGGAGGGTTGGAGACCAGCCTGAGCAATTGCGAGACCCCCATCTCTAAAAAAAAATAGCCAGGCGTTGTAGCGGGCACCTGTAGTCCCAGCTACTCCGAAGGCTGACACGAGAATCACTTCACCCCAAAAGTTTGAGGTTGCTGTGAGCTATGATAACACAGCACTCTACCAAGGGCAACAAAATGAAATTCTGCCTCAAAAAAAAAAAAAAATAGATTATTAGTACCATAAAATAACAGGGATGTCCAAACTACAGCCTATGGGCTACGTGCTGATTAAAAATATATTCTTTGGGCTCGGCGCCTATAGCTCAACCGGCTAAGGCGCCAGCCACGTA